TTGGCAGGTTCTTTCTTGGTCTAAATGATTCTCAGTATGTCAGGATTGTGAACAAGGTTGGAAACACTCCTGTCTGGCTATGCTTCAATGGTTTTTTTACCTTATATCTCCCAGACCCCAGGCTAGGAATCACTTCACTAAATGATCTTTAAATTCCATGATCTTATGACTCGTCCAAGATCACAAAGGGCTTAATGGCAGACCCAGGAGCAGGATCCAGGCCTCTGGCTCCAGGATTCACACTGCCCCTAAATTAGTTATTTATCAATATTTTTGTATTAGTAAGCCTTGTTAACTATAAACACTATATAAATGTAAGTTATTATTATTATGAGATTAAGGAATTTATAAAGGTTTGCTGTTGTTATTGTTAGGACGGCCAGACCAAGAGGTTTCCCAGAGGAGGATGGCCTTTCTCCTAATACCACTCCTGTGAGATTCATTTTTAACATGTAATACAGTGTGTATGTGGGGGAGGGGGAGGGAAATGGGGACTGAAATCTAGAGATAATAGATCTGCTGGGAAGATGAGACTAGGACTCCAGTCTCCAGTTTCCAGTTACTCTATCTAAGGTCATATTCTAATGCCCTTGGTGGGGCTTCCTGGAAAGGACTCCACCCCCATTCCTGAGGAATCCTGAGACAGGAAACAGCCATTGGGATGGAGGTTGGGGAGGGCGGCACTCTTGCTCCCTGGGAGGTGTTGTGTAATTATCAGTTACAGATAATTAGGTATATCCTTGAAGAAGGAAAAAAAAATCCTTACACAAAAAGAACTCTACTACCTCCAGTGTTGGTGTGTATGTTTTCCCCTTCAGTTGTCAGAGGACTAAAAAGGAATTTACACTCTTTAAAAACTTCATTGAACATTGACACGAGAAGGAGGATGGATGAGGAAAGGGTATTTGGTTGGCAAACACATCTTTTTCCCTCTTCCATAACACACAGGAATAAGAAGCTTCAAAGGAGGCACAGAGAAACCACAGCGAGCTGCTGAGGAGGGAATCTGATCTTATTAAAGCTGTTGATGGTGATAAAAAGGAATCTCCACCCTACATGGTTCTCTCCCCATTCTTAGGGCCTTCCTATCTTTCTAGTTCGTCCTAGGGATGTGTTAGAAAGAAGGGTGGATTGACTGTTCCACAAACGGGACCCTCCATCTCTTGGCTCCTGGCCTTTTCGATGGCTGTCCCCAAAGCCTTGGACTGCTCTGTCTCCTCCACTCCAACTACTAACCTCCCTAGCTTTCTTTAAGTCATAATTAAACCACTCGTCTGGGGCCACCTCCAGTCTTCCTGATCTATATCTGGCCACTGGAGAGAACGAGGCTGGTAACTTTGCACAGCCCTGCCTCACTTACATCCAATTCACTTACAAGTCATGACATCTCCTTCCTGATGTTATGGTCCTCTTCTAGAGTGAAGGACAGACAACAACAAACAATAACAACTACTAAACCCCCACCCTCTACAGGAAGCTTTCCCTAACACCTATTAATTCTAATGCTTTCCCTCTTTTAATTATTTCTTATTTATCCCATTTATGGCTTGCTTTGTATGAATTTGTTTGCATGTTGTCTCCTCGATTTGATCGTAAGCTCCTTGAGGGCAGGGACTGTTTTTCACCTCTTTTTGTATCCTCAGAATTTAGCACAGTGCCTGGGACATTGTAGGTACTTAATAAATATTTATTGAATTTGATTTGGAATCAGAAGATCAAGGATTGAAATTTGGCTCTGCTATTCACTCCTCTGGTGACTTTGAAGAAGTCACTTCACCATTCTGGGCCTCAGTTTCCCCCCCCACCAAATGAGGAAGGTTGTACTTGATGGCCTCTGAGATCTATGATCTTCTTGGGGTCCACAAAGGAAATGGCTAATGGGTTACATGGCTGGTTGTCCCACAAGTGACTAGAAAGAGGGAGTGATTGGTTTTGAGGACCTGGCTTTGGAAGAGATCTCTGGGTTGTACTTCGGAATACAAAAACAACCATGATGACCCATAAACATTTAATCAGTGAGTCAATAAACATTTATTAAGCACCTACTAGTGCCAGCACTGTGCTAAGTGCTAGGGATACAAAAAGAGGCAAAAGACAGTCCCTGCCTTCAGGGAGCTTACAGTCTAATGGGAGAGGCAACATGCAAACAACTATGCACAAACGAGCTATAGACAGGAGAAACTAGAAATAATCACCATTTTTAAAAGCTGTTGCCAAATGAATATGCATGACCTCCGAACTACGCGGGAGTAAGAACTTTTACAACATAGACTGACCAGAAGAAATCAAAGCTCTGAGGAACATAGATAGGTACACACCATCGCCATCATCCTGTCTGCTCGCCTGGCTCTGAAGACATTTTCAGGGAGCTCATAAAGCAAGAGCTTTCCTGCTGATACTTCTGTTCAACTACAAAGAGCCGTGCTTTCATCCATCTATGCAACAGCTGTCAGAACATTAAATAGCGGTTAGCTAGGTGGCACAGTGGACAGAGGACCAGCTCTGGAGTCAACAGGAACTGAGTTCAAATCCAGCCTCAGACACTTGATACTAGCTGTGTGACCCTGTAAAGTCACTTAACCCCTGATTCACTCACCAATAAAACACACAAAACAACATTAAATATAAAAGCACAATATCAGAAAAGCAACTTGTCCTTGGACTGTTTTGATCTGAACTCCATTGAACAATGAGAAGAATGAGGTAATGGTACTACTCTCCAGCATTTATGTGTTGGGGGCTTTAAGGTTTACAAAACACTTTACATACATGACCTCATTTGAACCCCTCAATTACCCTATGAGGTAGAGTCAGTCAGTCAATCAGTCAGTCAACAAGAATTTGCAGTTTCTGCTGCCAAGGAGTTCTCTCCAGGCCATCTGAAAGTTGATCTGAGGCAAAGGAGAATTGCAGATTCTTTATGCTGAGGTTATTAGATTCCACGACAAGATGGGTCTTTTTAGTTGGGAGAAAAGACAGAAGTGGGAAGAGACAGAAAAGAGAACCAGGTTTTCTCTTTCTGCGGCACCCTGGGTGGTGGTTTCTCCCACCAGATCCCAGCCCCAAATAAGCAAATACTGAATATTTTCGAAATAGAAAGTCTCCACTCTAGGTCAAGTGTGAGTGGTCATATGATTAGGGAATGCAGGATCACCATGAAGAGTGAGAGTGGGCAGGAATCTGTTTGCTTCCTACTGTATGTCCAAGGAGGATTCCTTAGCAGCAGAAATACTCAGCTGAAAGCCATCCAACCTCCCTTTAACCAGCAATGCCCCAGAGTGAAGCTGAGAAAGTAAGACTTTTCACAGCTGGAAGGAGTTTCAGAGGAGCTGATGCCTTCCCCCCCCCCCCCCCCCCCGACTAAACCAGGAAGGGAAAACTTCAAAAGATGATAGATTCAGAGCTAGAAGGGATCTTAGAGATCATATCAATTTATCCATAAGCATTTATTAAGCACCTCCTCTGTGGTAGACACCGTGCTAAGCACTAGGAATACAAAGGTAATAATGAAACAGTTCCTGCCATCAGGAGTTTATATTGCATGGTGAAACAGCACATATGTATAGCAATAAATTAAAAACACATACAAAGCAGATAGAAGGTAATTTGGGGGAGAAGGCAGTGCCAACTGGGGGGATCAGAAAAGACTGACTAAGCTAAGCCCCTGCTCTCATTTTAAAAAAAAACAACCAATTTTATTGATATATTGATATCAATAATAAAGCTTACATTCCCCCCCCAAAAAAAAGAGCCACTCCTTATGAAAAAAAATATTTTTTTAAGAGGAAGAGATAAAAAAATTAAGCAAAACCAATCAACACTCCCCCAAATTCTGATGTTATATATGCAATGTTCTATATCCATAGACCCCCACTGCTCCAAAGGATCTGCTCTCACATTAAAGAGAAGGAAACTGAGACCTAGAGAGGAGGTCACAACAATAGTTAGCAGCAAGACACGTATTGGGACCCCACTCCAAATCTAGTGATCTTTCTATTAAACTTACCCCCAAAGTAGGCCAGGCCAATCCCACTAGGCAGGGGCTTATACAACTGCTTTCTTTCCTGCTTAGAAGAATGCAGCCAGGGTCCCAGAAAGTCCCCTCTGCCCTGTACCTATAGGCCTCACTAAAGATGCAGTTGAGCTGTCCTGATATCTTTTAAAATGATGCAAGGGGGGCAGCTAGGTGGTGCAGTGGATAGAGCACTGGCCCTAGAGTCAGGAGGACCTGAGTTCAAATCTGACCTCAGACACATAATATTTCCTAGCTGTGTGACTCTGGACAAGTCACTTAACCCCAATTGCCTCACTTAAAAAAACCCAACACAACAACAACAACAAAATGATGCACGGAAGACACCATCAGAAGGTTTATCAGTGCAGCTCCCCACACCCCAACTCAGCAAGACAGTTCCTTGTCTGGTTCTGGCCCAGACAGGGTGGAAGTTGAAATGTCTCTGGCCTGCTGTGTAGATGACTAGCCTCAGCCTCTGGGATCCAAACCTGGGTTTTCTAACCGGTACAGACAAATGCAGAGCAGGGTCCTGCATCAGCTTTGGGGCTTATCCCTTTTCTCAATCTCTCCTAATTCTTGCCTTCCTTCTTTGAATTATTTGCTTGGTATCTTCCTTATTAGAGGGCAAGCTCCCTAGGGCAGGAACTGCCTTTTGCCTCTTTTAGTGTCCCTTAACAGGGATAGGGAAGCTGTGGCCTCAAGGTCTCATGTGGCCCTCTAGGTCCTCAAGTGCAGCCCTTTGACTGACTCCAAACTTCACAGGACAAATCCCCTGCCTTAGCACAATGTCTGGAACATAGCAGAGACTTGATAAATGCTTATAGGCTGACTGAAAATCTTTCTCACCAAAGAAGGCACAAGGGTCATAGAAGTGGAGCTGAAAGGGCCCTGAGAAACCATCATCTCCCTCATTTTACAGGGGGGGAAGTTGAGGCCTTAGAGAGGGGAAGAAGCAACCTGCCCAACATCCTAGAAAATTACTCACCAGACCAGGATTAGAATCTCTGGGGGTTCTGGCTGCAATTTAGTGATGAACTGGCAGATTTTTTAAAAATTGCTTTTCCATTGATATCTTCTGTTTTTGCATCACCTTCATCTCCATATATATCACTCCCCTGTTCCCAAAGAGCCTTCCTCTGTAACAAAGAACAAGAAAGAGAGAGAGAAAAAAGGCAGATCAGCAAAACAAACCAACATATCCGCTCACATGTCTGACAGTGCATGCGATGCTCCACACCCATGGTCCCCCACCTCTGCAAAGAGGGGGAGGTAAGTTCATTTTCTATCTGTACCCCAATGCTTTGCACATCATATACACTTCATTCTTTGGGACTAAGCTTTGATGCTATAATTACCCAGATGTTAGGATTTTTGTTATTTTGGGGTCATTGTTCTTTCCGGTTCTATTGTTGTGATCATTGAGCATGTGATGCCCTCCTCCTATGGGCTCCTACTGCTGGAAAGGACCTCTTTAGAAAGTCTCAAGTCCAACCCATCCTTCTACAGAGCAGGTTACTGAGGTCAGAAAGATCACCTTACCAGCCCAGGATCCCACACATATTAGGTGGTAGAGTGAGACTGGAAGCCTGGGTCCTTGGACTCCAGCCCCAGAGCAAATGCCCTTAAGGGTACCACTTCTCCAGTGGAGGAAGAAAGGCAGTTCTTGGACATTCTTGGTAGGGTGGAAAGGGAGAGAGGGGATGTGAGAAACTTGGCCTAGGGACCAAGCAGCCCTTTTTCTCTCTCTAACAAGATATGAGATAATATCTGTTTTTTATTTTTTAAAGGCACTTAGCATAGCCCTGGCACATAGTGTTGTTAACGCGTGTCTGACTCTTCACGACCTCATTTGGGGTTTTCTTGGCAAAGATACTGGAGCTGTTTGCCATTTCCTTCTCCAGCTCATTTGACAAATGAGGAAACTGAGGCAAACAGGGTTAAATGACTTGCCCAGGGTCATACAGTAGGAAGTATCTGAGGCCAGATTTGATCTCAGGAAGATGAATCTACTCCTTTGCACAAGTCTGCACAATCCACTCCAGTCCAATGCTTTGTGCACTATGGCGTCACCTAGCTGCCCCTGGCACATAGTAGGTGCTAAGTAAATGCTTATTGCTCCCCGCTTCCTTTCTCTTCCCCTCTCATCGGCTTTTCTCACCTTGCAGCTCATTCTGCTTGCTGCCATTTGAAGTCTTGCCCCAAAGTGGAATCAATTCCCCAGCTGGGCAAGGTCAGACTAGCCAAGGTCCATTCCTTAGATAATGATGGTGACTCTGGCTAGGGGGAAAGAGGTCAGAGGGGCTAAGAGGCAGAGCCCTCCTGACTCCATCAGACTGCTCATCCTTAGTGGCTCAGGAAGACAAGGCTTCCTGACTACAAGGCCTGCCCACTACCCAGCTGCCTGAGGAGTGAGCTCCCCCTAGCTAGAGATTTAAGGTGGACAACTGCCTGTCAGGGATATTTTAGAGGGACTGTCTTCTTTTTCTAGATTAGACTAGCAGGCCCCTGGATGCTCTTATTCCTAGCTGTGCCTAGTCTGTCCCTAAATAAGAGAGTGCCCCTAAATGCTGCAGGGGGGTGCCTGAGAGCCCCACTGTGGGTGCTTAGGAAGGCTTATTAAATTGCAGCAGAGATGAAGTCCCAGACCTGCAGCCCAGGGCATAGTAAGGCAGCTTGGGGAAGGCAGCCCTGGTTTGTCTTAGGTCAAATGCTTCCAGTGGGACCAGAGGCTGAGAGGAAGGGTGTGGGTGGTCTCTCTGTGGTAGGGTTGGACAAGATTTGGAGGGTTTGTTTTGATGCAACAAAGGAATGCCCTATTCCCCCTTGGCGGATCTGGTCCCAGGGTACAGAGCCAGGGGCTACTTCTTACTTGGAAGGGGAGGGAACAGCTGGAGGCTGACATCTGAACTAGCTGTATATTGTTTTGCCTTTTTTGGGTCAATCAAAAAGAGTGCATTCCCCTCCCCCCCAAAAAAACCCAATATATATTTTTAGATTATATATAATCTATAGTTTTGAGGAGAGAGAGAGAGAGAGAGAGAGAGAGAGAGAGAGAGAGAGAGAGAGAGAGAGAGATACAGAAACAGAGACAGAGACAGAGAGAGGAGGGAGGGAGGGAAGGAGAGAGGAGAGAGAGAGACAGAAAGCCTAGACCTGTGATTTCAATGGAATGTGGAACTTTGTTTGAGGAAATTTCCTCTACAGAAGCCAATTGCTTCTGGTCAACTGAAAGTCTTAGAGAGATCCCTGAGGCACCAAAAAATTAAGTGACTTGCCCAGGGTCAGAGGGATGGTAAGTGGGTACTAGGACTGTTCCCAAAGCAGGAGTAAGATTAAGTTGGTTACTGTGCCCAGCACCAGAAGTAAAGGAGGAGTGGGGTAGAAGGCCAGAGGGGATGTGAAGCTGTGAGAAATGCTAAGGCTTCCATATTGCTGCCATACTTTAATCTACTCCTCTGGAAAGTGAGAGGGTTGGTCTGCTATTTCCAGAGATCAATGACATCACAGGGTGATGTCTTGACTGGATTGTGAAGCGGATTTAAGTGATGCAGAGATGCACAAAGTTGTCAACCTCATTCTCTCTTCTTGAGTCACTGAAGTCCAGTGGCAGGATAAAAGTCAAGATGACTAGCGATGGCCTGGGATGTAGTGGATTGACCTTTACATCACCAGTGTCTGACCAACCTTTAAGCGCTCCATAGCAGCTGCCTCAGCCACCTTCACGGCCATTGGAACAAATTGTTCTCATTTGCCCATTCCACCAGGGGTTGAACTAGATGCTTTTTGAAGAGTCTAACAGCTTGATGATTTCATGCTTCCAGGAATAGCTGCGTTTTTTGTTTTCATTATGTCCCATGCATTGGAAAGGCAGACAGGTGGCTTAGATGAGGGTCCGTATTTCACTAGGTCACTTAACTTTTTAGGCCTCATTGTACTCACTTATAAAATGGGCATAATAATTCCTGCCTGCTCCCTGACTCTTCAGAGTATTGTATGAATATTTAAGATCCTGGAGATGAAGTTAAATTGAGCTCTCTAGGAAAAAAGACCCTATTTCAATGTCAGGTAATTCAGTGCTCCTGATCTCTGTCCTATATCAGCATACAAAGGCAGAGGAGATTATATAAATAATACAACAATAACAGCTTACATGAATATAGAGCTTTCAGGTTTGTAAAGCACTTTACATGTTATCTCATATGATATACACAATGCCCTGTGAGGTGGGTGCTATTATTACAAAAGAGAAAACTGAGGCAGAGCAATTTAAAAAAAACCCAATGAACATGAAGAATTCATAGAAGTATAAAAAGACTTATATGAACTGATGTAGAGTGAGAAAGCAGAACCAGGAAAACAATATACACAAAGACTACAACATAAAAAAGAAGCACTGTGTAATTAATAATGAATACTATGATAGTGAATGATAGCTAACTTTATTTAGTTCATTATGGCTTGCAAAGAGCTTTACATATGTTATTTTATGTGCTCCTCACAATAACCCAATAAGGTAGGTGCTATTAATTCCATTTTACAGATGAGAAAAGTGAGGCCCAGAGAGGTTCAATGATTTGCCCAGGGTGGGCAGCAGGATTCAAACTGAGCTTAGCATTCCATCCATTACATGAATTCACTGCTCATGGGCAAGAAGATTGACCCTGTAGTAGAGTTGAGAAAATTAACTTTTTCTTTCTTTTTTTTTAGGCAACTGGGGTTGTGTGGGACAGTGACCACCAAAATCAAGAGTTTGGAGTCTGAATCAGAAATCAGAAAAGGTCTTTATTCTTTCTCATGAGAAAGGGCACAGCCCTTGTCACTGTTCAAGTATTGGAAGCCAAGGAGTGTGCCGCTGGCTGTGAGAAGCAAAGCTTTACAGCCCTAATTCGTGCCCCATTCCACTCTCTTGCCTCTTTCCCCCACTGGCTGGGTACTCAAGGCGCACAATCAAAACTCGCAACTAATATCCAATAGGAGCAAACATACCCATATTTGGGAACTAGATGTGTGCATGCACCAGGAAGCAGGAGCGACCAGAAACTGCCTGTGCTGAAGTGGATTTTTGAGAAAGGGGAAACTCAACTCAGGGCTTCGGCCTGAGGAACTGCACTTTAGGCCATCTCTCACAGGGTTAAGTGACTTGCCCAGGGTCACAAGAAAGGAAGTATCTGAGGCTGGATTTAAACTCAGGAAGATGAGTCTTCCTAATTCCAAGCCTGGCACTCTATCTGTTGAGCTACCCAAATTATTTATGAAGCACCTACTATGTGCCAGGCAATGACCATTCAAAGAAAGAACAGCCCCTGCTCTCAAGGAACTCACAATCCAGTGGAAGAGACAACATAAAAACAGCTGTGTAGAAATAAGATAATCCAGGTAAATTGGAGATACTCTGTTTGAAATTTAAATGCATAAAAACCAATGGAAATGGAGTATATTAAAAATATTAATCTATTTTTAAAAATACATAGGATTACAAAGGAACCCAAGTATGTTGAAAATGTATCAAAATATTATCAACATATTTTCAAAAACAAGTTTGAGAACCCCAAGTTAAGAATTCCTTGTATAGAATAATACATAAGTACATAAGTTAAGTACTATTAGATGAGGTTGATATGCTCATCAACTAAACCTTTTTTCCCCCCTTTTTTAAAAATTTCATTACACAAGATGGACTTTGTTTGGGATTCCTGGGAACATATCAGGGTACAGGGTAGCATCTGCCTGGAATGAATTCATACAATCAAACTGCCTTCCAGTCAAGTAGCAGTTTATTGTAAAGCTAAGAGTAGCAGGCAGGATTTCTAGTGAACCTGCATCTTAATGGGGGTGAGACTGACATTTATATACAAAAGGACTGTGAAAAGATGTGGATGAGATTAAGGAGTGGTAAATAGTCTGGGGTGAGCCAGGTGGGACAGCAGAAGGAATGTCCAGTAAGCTAATTAGGTGATCTAGGTGGTCCAGTTGCCTCAGTTGAGGCCAGTAATCTGCACTGCTGAAATGTATGGGAAAATTCAGGGACTGGGTCACTTTATCAATGACATCCAGGTTTGCCATGCTAATCTCTTACCCAATCATACTTTGTCACCAAATCTAGTGTAGTAAATTCAGTATAAAAGGCAGGTTCAAGTAAATGAATAGTGTAAACAAGATTTCAGAGGGAATGTTTAACCTACTCAGGCTTGTTGGGGAGTAAAGAATGGAGGAGACTTAAAAATAAAACCTATTAATAAAAAGTCTAAAAGCAGGGAGAAGGGAGGAGAGTAAGTCAGGTCCCAAAGGCAGTTACCTGAATTTGCTCTTTCACTGAAGACCTGTGGGGATAAACTTCTGTTAGATGCTCCTTGTTCTGCCCTCAGCTTCCTCTGCAGCTACAAATTCAGCCCACCTCTTGATTCCAGAGCCTAATTGGCTACTTCCTTTCCTGTTTTCCTGCTGGGGGCCGGGGGAGGGCTTTAGAGATTTCATCCTCATTTTTTCTAACTGCCTCCAGCTGTCTCCTTCCTTACCCGGGGAGGGGCTTGGGTGGTAAAGAAAGGAGATTCTTTTCTTTCATTCTTTCTTTCTTTCTTTCTTTCTTTCTTTCTTTCTTTCTTTCTTTCTTTCTTTCTTTCTTTCTTTCTTTCTTTCTTTCTTTCTTTCTTTCTTTCTTTCTTTCTTTCTTTCTTTCTCTCTTTCTTTCTCTCTTTCTTTCTCTCTTTCTTTCTTTCTCTTTTGAGTTGAAAATTTTTCTCCCTTTTCCTCCCCCCCACCCTCCCCAAGACGGCGCACAATCTGATATAGGCTTCACATTTACATACGCATTAAACATATTTTCACATTAGTGAAGTTGTAAGTAAAAATTAAAACCAATACGAGGAACCATCAGAAAGATGAAACAAAATTCAAAAGAAGGTAAAAATAAGTGATAGCGATTCGACTCTTTCTTTCTTTCTTTGTTTTTTTTTTGAAGGAGGTAATTTCTAAAGAGCCCAAACCTGAAAGTTGCAGAGAGGGAGGGATGGGGTAGAAGTAGATGTGGGAGGTGTCCCTATGGTAGCTTCTCCAAGGAAGAAAAAAAATCTCCCTACATATAAAAGGGCTTGCTTATGTTAGTGAAAAGTCTGAATTGTGGAATGTGTGTGTGTGTTTTAAAGAAATGTAGCTTAATTGCTTAAAGTGGTGAGACTAATTAAAGCTGGGGTCTAGAGTGCAGTCAAGGGACCTCATTTCCTGGAGAGGAAAGTAACTTGTGATTAACATCTGATATGCAAATATTCCTGCTGAAGTGTTTAAAAGAAGTGGTTCTCCTAAACATTCCTCCAGATATCTTGTTTATACTATTCATTGACTCGGAGCTGTCTTTCATACTCGGTTCACCACACCAGGTTTGAAGACAAAGTGCAATCTGGCTAGAAATTAGCACCAAAGTAAAGGGATTTTAAGGAGCTATAAAAGGAAAACTTGGCTCAGCCCAGAGATCACAAATTCTGAACCATAATAACTCACATTTATATAGGTTTCTTCATAAGAGTTGGACGAGGTAGGTCTACAGGATCTGAGGCTAAGAGCTTGGAGGGACCTTACAGCTAATCTGTCTAGTTCAACCTTTGTTTATTTAGATTTTTTTAAAATTACATTTTAATTTTTTTTCAGCCAATAAAAGTCTTCCTTCTCTCCCTGCCACTGCCTCCCTAGGTAGCTAGGGGCTGCCAAGGTTGCAGAGTGCTGTGTCTGCAGTAAGGAAGACCAGAGTTCAAATCTGACATTCACTAGTTGTGTGACCTTGGGCAAGTCACTTAATGTCTGTCTGCCTCAGTTTCCTCAGCTGTAGTCTTCAGTTTCTTTATATGTGAAGTGAAGACCTTTGAGGTGCCTTCTAGCTCTAGAGCTATAATCACTTAGTCTTTTTGTGCCTCAGTTTCCTCCTCTGTCAAATGAAGGAGTTGAGCTAGACAGCCCCTTAAGATCCCTTCCAGCTCTAAATCAATGATCCTGTTATATATTAAGAGCCTACTTTCTCTGAGGTACCACACTAGAGCTACAAAGACAAAAAAGGAAACAGTTTTGCCTTCAGGTAGTTTACTGTCTACTAAAGGAGACAACATGGCACAGTGAGTAGTGTCCTGGACTTTTGGAGTCAGGAAGACCTGGATTCAGATCCTATCCCAGATACTTCGTAAGCGGGTAACCCTTAACCTTTTTGGGCCTCAGTTTCTCCATCCGTAAAATGGGAGGGTTGGACCTGGCCTCCCAAGTTGTTTCCAGCTCTACATCTTAGGTACCCAGGGACTCAATACAAACTAATTCTGGGTGTGATATTACAACTAGATGGACCAGGAAAAGCCTTCCCACAGGAAGTGGCTGCCAAGATGAATACTAGAGGTGGCTAAACCTCCAGCCTAATCCTGCTGGCTCCCCACTGCCACCCTGACCCTGAATTAGTGGTGCCCAAACAGGTGAGGTTTTACTCTCGGGTTGGTGGGTGAAAATCTATTTTCAGAGAGGCGCCACTCTAATGTTTTTGGATGTCTTCCCTCTCTCCTGAGTGGCCTCTGATCTCACCAGCGAACTAGGACACACACTTGACCCCATTTCTCCTGTGGGTCCTGCCAAAGTGGCAAGGAGATCCAGATGTTCCCTAACTAGGCTTCCAGAGCCACCCAGAGAACAGCTGGAAGCTCTGGCCTGGACCACTCCCTTGGCAGAGGCAGTCCTTGGTGGTGAGGCCCTGGGCTTCATGACACCCCCTCCCCGCCTTGGGCCTTCTTGCCCTCCTGCCATTTCTGAGCTGGCATAGTCATTATGTCAGTGCCTTCTGGCGTTTGCCTCTGCTCTGACTCATTTGACCAAAAGACAAGACTGGGGCTTTTGTAGGGCGCTTCCCCCCTTTCTTCCGTAGCTTTGGCACCAGCCCACACTGGCAGAATTCCCATCTTGGCAGGACTCGCCCTGTGCCCATGCATGGACCAGAAAGATGGAGGTCCAGTGCTTCTGAAGCAAGAGCATCCTCTGGTGGCCATGTTGCACCCCGGCACTCATCCAGGAGCAGTGATGGGAGACCCAGGGTGGGGAATCCTCCTCCCAGCAAGCTGTGATCCTAGGATCCTTGATTTAAGGCTGGACGGGACATTAGATGTCATTGAGTCCAACCACCTGATTTTACAGATGAGGAAACTAAGGAAAAGTGACTTACCCAAGGTCACACAGCTAGTAAGTGGTGAAAACTAGATTTGAAAGGTCTTCCATGATCCTGACTTGAAATCCCAAATGCTTCCAACTATACTGAATTGCCCAGGTCCCTCTCCATTCTTCTCATATTTACCTCTATACAAGTATATTTTCACTTTGGAAGAAGTTAATATTGATTGCAGAGAAAGCAGTTGGTGGGGACCCTGCTCTTTAAGGACTACAGTTGTAAAGGGCCTTCACTGCCACATTGAGAAGTTTATTTTTTGCCTTAGAGGCAAAAGACAGACATAGAAGGGTTGGTTTTTTTTTAGTAGATCAATCAATAAACATTTATTAAGCACCTACCATGTGCCAGGCCCTGTGCTAAGTCCTCGGGTACAAATATGAAAAAAGAAAGACAGTCCCTCACCTTCAAGGAACTTACAATTTAATGGGGGAAGATAAAACACAAAAGGAAACTGAAAAGGGAGGGATAGGGGATGTGTAAAATCAATCAGAGACCACTCTGAGGGAGGAATTGGAGGTCTGAGCTGAGCTCTCTCCTCAAATGGAGGTCTGGGATTCATGGCCCCACCCTCTAATGTGAGAGGCTTAGGGTAGTGATGAAGTGGAGTCCCAAGGCTGACGAGGGAAGATGTTATCCCAGGAAGAAATTTAAGAGACATGAGAGACTTTTACTTCAGAAAGATGTTTGGGTATCTGCCTTAAGGATGCTCTGGAAAGGGAGAGAGGAAGCTGGGGAGCGATTATGAGGCTGTTTAAGAGATTCATTGATTGATTTCTTTATTTTAGGGTAGGGGACCCTCAGCATGTTGGTTCCTCAAACCAATAGACATTTCTCATTCTCTAGCTTCTCCTCTGAGCTCCATGGGAGCCACCATCACTGTCTCATTATTATTATTATTTTTTAATCCTGGAAAAAGTACTAGATGAAGAGGCAGAAGACCTGAGTTAAAGTCTTTGATCTGTCATTTACCATCCTTGGGACACTGGACAAAGCACTTTCCTTCTCTAATTTTCAATGTCCTCCTTTATAAAAATGAAAGGATTGGATTAATGGTCTCTAAGTTTCCCTTCGGCTCTCAATTCAACAATCCTAAACAGAGCTCTAACCAGGAACTTTAGTGGCACAGTGGATAGAGTGCCAGGTCTGAAGTTAGGAAGCTGAGTTTAAATCTGGCCTCAGCTACTTAGCTGTGTGACTGTAGGTACGTCACGGTCTTCTGGTTTGCCTCAGTTTCCTCATCTGCAAAATGGGCACATTTAGAGACAGCTGTACTCCAGATGTTCATATGGACTATCTGTGCCCAGTGGAGCCTTCCCAGTTCATATTAGTCTGATCAGCCACTGCAGGACCCACTGGAGCTTGAGCCCAACATAGTGATGTCATTTTGGGCCTCTTCAAGAATGAAAGACAACCACCAACCTCCCGAGGTTGTTATGAAGATCAAATAAGATAATAACTGTTAAGTGCTTAGCACAATGTCTGGCTTATAGTAAGCACTATGTAAATGTTAGCTATAAGTATTATTACTAATGGTCAAGAGCAAACTTGAGTGGAGTAGGGGGCAACGGTTTTGGCAGTGACACTGGAGTAGTTCGCCAGTTCCTTCTGTAGCTCATTCTACAGACGAGGAAACTAGCCAAACAAGGTTGAGTGACTTGCCTAGGGTCATACAACTAGAAAGTATCTGAGGTTGGACTTGAACTCAGGTCTTCCTGACTCTATTCACTGGGCCACCTAGATGCCCCAGTAGGGGGCAGAACACAGCACAATTGGATAAGGCATTCCTGGAAGGCTGAAGGTGGGACCCAGGAGAAAAATAGGACCCTAGTGATTCAATGACTCCTGTTAAACACAGCCTGGAAGAAAGTGTGCCAGCCCACCCCAACTTGGTATTCTAGGGAAAGACCCTACCCTAGCTATGTCTCTGAGCCTGTATTCTTCAGATGAGAGCCTGCTGTGTGTCCATTCTAATGAGTATTTCCCCCTCTTACTTTTTTTTTTTTGCTTTTTTTGGTGAGGCAACTAGGGTTAAGTGATTTGCCCAGGATCACACAGCCAGTAAGTTTCAAGTGTCTGAGGCTAAGTTTGAGCTCAGATCCTCCTGATTCCAAGGCCAGAGCTTTATCTACTGCACCACCAGATGCTCCACCCCCTCCTGCATTTTCAAATAACAGCTGTGAAAACTAGC